GAACTTAAATTCTCCATTTTCTTTTTCTTTTTACCCTTTTCTTCCTCAGTTAAAATTATATGTCCATTAAAGATGGCTTCTTCATCCCAACCTTCTTGTTGTTGCATTTCCTGATAAGTAGAAATCGCCATTTCTAAGAAGCGAAAAATAGATCCAAAAGAGCCCTTTCCTTCTTCTTCCTCTTCTTTTAACTTTTCAAATTCCATTTTCAATTCTTCAACAGATACCATTGTGAAAAAATTTTTTAAACAATCCAAATGTTTTTTTAGTCTTTCAAAAAATAGTTTACAAAAGTCCCAAAGTCATCAAGCAATCAAAGTCAGCACAAACTGTTTCATTTAGCACTTTCTTCTTTTAATACTTTCTCTTCCTGGGGTAGAATTCAATTACACAATTCCAAGGTAATTTTTGGAAGTTTTATTGCAATTTAATCTCTGATCTTATAAGCTCCAAGCAGTCTCCTTCAACAAATCTTGGTATAAATCATTTACCTCTCTTCCTTCCCACTTATAGCAAAAAGATTTTAATTTTTAAATGCCAGTGTTTAGAAATCTAATGTCCCCTTGGCTTTAATTTTCAAAAATAGTACCTTCTGCTGCCAAAGCGGGTATTTCCGATTTCCATCTGCTGTCTCTGTAGGGAAGGAAAGTGAGGAGAAAAAAAAAGAGCTTTCACTTTCACTTTCAACCGCAGCTTTGCGATCCTCTTGGGAACAATGTATCACTTAAAGAGCCAAAGTTCCAGGGTATTCAGATGTTGCTTATCGTCCTGGTTCAGCCAAAAGTTTTCACTTTCTCAACTTCCTCCTGCACAAAACTTGTCCGGTTGAGAGGTTCTTTGTGCCGGCCATTGCTGACTTTGTCCGCCTTTGGAAAAGGGAGTTAAGCCGGCTGGGAAGGGGGTTGTGATGCCCCCAGACCCCTGCCTGGATCTCCCCTCTCTTCAGTTATCCCTACAGGATAACTATAGCCTCCCAATCCAGCTGGATCGAAGGCACTCCGGCAGTGAGCGCGGCAGGGATCATGCACAAACGCGAATTCATGCCGCCTCCGAAGCCTGACAAACCGGAACACCTTCATCGATTTAATTTGATATCCATATTGCTTAGAACTATTGGATTCTGAGAGATCTTGGTATTCCCAATCAGATTCACTATCATCCCTGACACTACCACCATCTTCATTGCTACATCCCAATTCCATCCAACCTTGTGCATGAATCATTAGGATTCGTTTACAGAAAATTGTCAGAGGATTTTACCTTAAAGAGTAAACTAGTGGGTTGCATTGTGCTATGCTTTGAATTAGATTGTTTGAGTCCCAAAGTATCTCTTCACAATCACCTGTTTGCAGTCCATTAATCAGTCACATCTTTTTCTAACACCACTCAGCTGCTTCAGAGGTTTCCACAATTCTGGAAACAGCGGTAGGCAAAGATGCTTGTGTTTCTGCAGTTTCCAAAGTTCCTGTTCCCAGTTAAATCCAAACCACTGAAAGCCCTATTAATAAATATAAAAATGTGCCTTAAAATTATCTAGAGAGACACTTATATGTTCTCTTGAGCCAATAGTCTTGGGAGACACAATAAGGTGACCTTATGTGTCTCCCAATACTCTATTGCTCAAGAGGACTTATATGAGTGTCTCTCTAGATAGTTTTAAGGCATGTTTTTATCATCTTTCACAAAAATGTAAAAGTAATATGTAAAATCGTGCAACAATCGTGGAGCTTCCCTTTTTTTGTTTTATGTATTTGTATCCCACTTTTATTAGTTTTACAAATAACTCAAGATAGCAAACATATACCTGCTCTTCTTATTTTCTCCACACAACAACCCTATGAGGTTTGTTGGGCTGAGAGAACTGGTGGAAAGTCCCCATTTTTCAGTGTTCTTTCCAAGAAAACTATGATAAGACCAGTATTGTTTTGTTTTAATTGTTGGCACAATCCAACACTGGGTTCAAGTTAGTCAGCACTATAGGCCAATGAATTCATGCAGAATAAGGTGTAATGCAAACTCTTTATTTCTGTTACAGAAGGAAAGGGATACACTTGGGACCCAAGTTCAAATCAAGTGTACTTGTTGAAATTCAGCAAGTTCTTTTTATGTCATAAAATTACATGTGGACAAAATCACATATATTTTTCTTAACCTACTAATGATAACCTTCCTTTTACCTCTGGACATTTGCAGACACGTTGTTAAACTCAGCTAAATGCCATGTTACTTTCCTTTGTTCCATTAACAGGCCCATTTGCAGAATTCCTTCGCAAGAATACAAAGCTACATTCTTCCAGCTAGTCTACATATGTGATTAACCTATGAAGTGTTTGTTGTCATCCCCTCTGGCTCATACTACCATGTGTTAAAGAAGACATCAGTTAACTGCTAGTAACTATGTCTAGCAAAGGCACAGACAAATTGATAAAAATGGAGCAGCCAATTCATGATTTACAAAAGTTCCTAATGATTTGTTTACAAACCAATTTGGCAAGTATTTCACAAGCCATTACGTCTGACTCTCACTATGGCAAGTGAAAAGTAGGCATTCTTCCTAGCTTTGGTAGATCTGACTTTGTTTTAACCATCCTTTATTTTGGGTTGCACAGCCATTCACATAGCTACATTTTTATTACTTCTGGTTTGTTTGGGTTGCTTTAATCTTTGACTTCACCTTGATATCTATTGACGTAGGTTATAATATTTTAGATATATAACTACTGCATTTGCAACCTTGTTCAGAATAGAATAGAATAGAACAGAACAGAAGACCTTGGAAGTCTTCTAATCCAACCTCCTGCTCAAGCTGTAGACTAAACTATTTCAGACAAATAGTTGTACAATCTCTTGTTAAAAATCTCTAGTAATGCAAGTAATAGTATATTGGCTTGCAAGTTAATCTCTAGACAGCCTAGTTTGCAGAGCATAGGATAACCATGCTTTTGGGTAAACTGGACAATGCTTATGCTTGTGGCATATTGTCCAAAATGTGCTCAAACTTGAGTGGCACTATCTTTACTGTTACGGATCTGGTACAGATGCACCATCAGGTAACTTGGGCTATACTTTCTTTTACTGAAAAAGTGCTTTGTGAAAGTTTTAAGCAACTCAAGCCATTATACGTATCAGAGATCAATATTTTAGAAGCACATCTAATATCTTCAAGAAAATTGCATCTTGGAATGTAAGGGGGGAAATGATAAAAGAGCAAAAATATAACAAAAAAAATATGTCTGCCAAACTAAGGAAGAAGAAAACTATAACAGATCTGAATGAAGGTGGTCTGATTTTGTAGACTTGATAACTATATGCAAAGAAGTAGAAGTGTACAATTCAATTAAAGGGTTAACAATATGACAAATTAGGAATCACTGTTATCCATGTTATTGTTGATGAAAATCAATTGAATTATAAATTGATTATAAATTGATACATTTTGGATATTAATGAATGGTAGTAATAAAAAGCAGATGAATTTTAGGCAAATGAAATCATTTCCAGTTTATTTTCATTTCCTATTAAGTTAGAAGGGTTTTGCATTTGATTGTGTCAAGTTATAAAGAAAGTTTTAGTTAATTTTTTCTTAAAAACAACATTTTTAAATGGCAGATTTATGTTTTTTATCCTTTTCCTAAAGAAGAGGGGCTAATTTCTCTAATCACATTCTTTAGAGGCTACACAGTGAAGAGTTGGCATTATAGAATTGAGTTTTCTTTTTCATCTTTACTATTTTACTTTTGTGATATCCTAATTATTTGCAAGTAAGACCATAGCGAGTCCTATCACATATGCTGGAGATAAGGGAAGCAGGAAAAGACATTTCCCAAAAAGATAGTTGTAGGCTGCACTAATTACCAGTCAGCTACATAAAGTCAGGAAAGTGGGTAGGGGAGTATAAACACAGTGTTTCTTTCTGGGAAAGAAGGTTTGAGAAATTCAATGTTTCACTGTATGGTCATAAAATGTATGTTGCTGTGCCAAACACTAAATAGGTGTACTTGTTCCATTCAGCCATGTTTTCTTCCCTGATAATATTTTGTGTGATCAGCAGTACAGAATTACTACATCTATCCCTTGCCATTGGTTGTGCTGGACAGGGCAGTTGGGAGTTGATCCAAAACACTGGAGGCATTCAATTTTATTGTGTTACTCCCCCTTATGTTTCCCATTCCAACCTCAGAGAACTCATTCTGTATCTGTTGACAATTTGCATTTCTGAGAATTGCTGATATTTCTTCTCTCTTATCCATCTGGCTGGCATCTGATAGGAAATGACCAGCCAGTCAGGGCAGAAGAATCAGTTGGGGAGTTATTAGCCTTGAATAATTGCACAGTTGCAAGAGCTCCAGGGCTGACACCCCATGGAATCTTATCTATCTGTTTTCAAGGGGAAAGCAAGGAGTCTGGGAGTGTTGATCTATTATTTGGGTTTGACAACATTATTCTGATTGCAGGAGTATTGTTTTTAAAAACGAGTTTGCTATTAGTTTTAGAACAATGAGGGCATAGTTTACTGCACTGTTCTGCCAAGTCTATTTCATTATATTATGTCTTATGAATCAAATCTGCTATTTCCACTTTGATGTTGCCCTTAACAACTTCTTACCTAAAAGAAGTTGTTACCACCCTATCATATTACATAGGAAAGTCATTTATGTGCAGATTATCATGAGATAATTTTGATCGTCAGAAATCTTCGGAGCCATTTTAGGTAATGCCACTTTATTTCTTAACACTTTAAAATGTTAGTTAAAAACATTACATGGACAGCACAGGTTGCTGAAACTTTAAAGTGTGATTCATCTCAATATGGAGTACAGTATCTTGCTCATTCAATAATAATTGCCCGTAACAGAAATTTAATAAGTTCATATAACTCCAAGAAAGAGTTGCATAGCTTCGCATCATGAAGTCAAGACTGATGAAGCATTTTAATCATTTTGCCTTTGTATTCTCTCTCTCCCTCCCCCCGTTTCTATATTTGGTTCTTTTCTTTACAGGACTTCAGTATGGCGGATATGTTTTATAACAATTTGAAGGAACCACCTACTTCTACTGTCATGTTGGAAAGCTGCCAGTTCTGTCAGGTCATCTTTGCAAACATAGAGAAATTCTATGTTCCTGGAACAGATATAACTTGCTATTATAACCTTTCCCGGTACTTCATGCCTCGCAAGAAGGATTGGGTGGGCATATTCAGAGTAAGTTTGATTTGCAAAATCCACTGATGTTTGAATTGTAAAACACAGCCATTGGAACTGATGTAGGATAGTTGATCTCTTCTGATAAATACATCAGGAGAAAAAAATTCAGCTATAGGGAAAATTGAGACTTGGTAGTTTTTAGGTTTATCTGAGATCCATATTTTGAAGTAAAGAAGAAATAATAGAGGAGGGAAGCTATTTTTTCCATTCAATTTACAGTTTTTGTTAATAAATTATATGTCTTTTTACCATGTAATAAGTAGTGCTTGTGCCATTTTCAGCTGTTACTCTGCGATTTAGTACCAAGTCAACATTTATCTTATGGTTCTTTCTCCAAAACTAAGTAGAGTTTTACTTTCCCTTGAATATTACTTTCCCAAAAATTGTGAATGGGTATTATGAATAAACCACTCTGAGAAAGAATTCCTAAAGTTATCCAGAGATCAAAATAAAAGACTTAAAGTTCTCTGAAGTCCTTCATGAAAAACGGTGTTTTAGCAGAATGATAGGTTATGCCACTACAGGTTCCTTGAAATGCAGATTAAACATTTTGCCAGGTAAAGTGTTTTCCAGTGTTGCTCCAAAGATATGGACAAGATGTGTTAGGACCAAGTTTGCTCTCTGAAAGCCCTATAATTTTCCTATCTGTCTTCAAAGCTCTTGGGATTTGATTCTAACCCTGTTGCTAGTGTAGGTGTAATTCCTTTCTATTCACTGTAATTTGAAAGATGAAGTCTTTCTCTCTCCTTCTTTCCTTGAATGCAGCAAATGAACAGGGCCAACATGGATCATTTCTTCTTTCTTCTTCCAACATAAATTTCACATAAGATTTCTCTGTCTCAATACAGCCTATAATCCCTTCACTCAGTAACTATTTATTTGATGGCACTAAGAGGATGCAAAACAAATATATCACAGCATCTCTAAAAGATTTGGACAGTCTTTTCCAGCCTGGCACCTTGAAGATGTGCTTGGATTGCAGTTCCCCAGATCCATAGTTAATATAAACTTGAGCAGTTCCAGCATGTGTGGAGGAACCAGGGGTGGGATTCAACTGGTGTTACTACTGGTTTGGTGATTATGTTTTGAGCATGCATGCGCAGTTTGCATGCATGCGCACCTGACATGCACTGCACACATGTGTACAAAACCTTAACCTGTGCTGCCTGGACAGCTGAAAAGCACTGTGTGTGGGTGCGCAGCATTTGAAAAGCCACTTTTTTTCCTGCTTTTTCAACCAGCTGTGCCGCGCAAAGCAGCTGAGGTTGAAAAAGCAGGAAATAAAGGACAGGTAAGAGCCCAGGCAGGCGGGTGGACCAAACAGCAGCAGACACAGAACCGGTTCTGTGTCTACTGCTCTTCAGAGCTACCGGTTCTATAGAGCTGGGCAGAACCGGTAGCATCCCACCCCTGGGAGGAACCCAAGCTGGGTTCGTGGGAGGAAGATTGGTGGGAGAAGGAGTTGGAAGCCTTCGCATGCATTTTGTTGTTGCTTTACAGGTGGGATGGAAGACAACTCGTGAATACTTCACATTCATGTGGGCCCCTAAGCCCAGATATTCTGAGACCGGCTATGCTGAACCACAGCAGGTGGTTTTTAAAGGTCAGTGATGGGAAGGGAATTGGTGGGGCAGTTTTGCAACAGGAAACCTGTTAGAGTAATCGTCACACTGCTATCTCCTGAAAACCAACCTTGCATATAGTGGCACTGTGGCATCCTAAATGAGTTGATTGATATCTAGACTTTATTCACTAACAGTCTCTTAAAAAGAACCTGTAAAACCAATTGCTGGGTTTATTAATTTTATGACTTGTATTATTATTTGGCCAGAGTAAGAGTTAGTTGCTGATAGGATTGTAAATCATCCTCCAAATCCTGTTAGCATCTCTCATCTTTCCCTTACTTCCTATAGGAGATAAAAAGTGTGATTTCACCTAGTGCTAATAGAATTACTTGTTATACGTGCTATGTGGCTGGTACTTCCTAGCTTGGTAACTTTTACCACTGGAAAGAAAAATGAAAGCTGTTTCTTGGGAAGTGATTTGTAGTTCAGCAAAAAATTGTGTCCTGGGAAATCTGGTGATATCATTTGTTCACCACTTCAGCTATGGCTATGGTGAGACATGAGTCTGAGATATGAGAATATGAGACTGAAGTCATAAAAGAGGAAGAAAAGAAGGATGGGTGCACTAGACTTAATTTTATTTTATTTAAGTGCTAGACTTAATCTGGATAGGATTTCAAAATCCTTGTGCAAAAGACCCAGACAGATATCTACTTAGAACTGTCAGCTTTGTCACTTGGGGAAGACAGAAATTAGTTGTCAGCCTTCCTTCTGTTTGGCATCCAGCAGATTATCTCTGAAGGACAAGCCATAACTAAATGTTAGATAGGTAATTTTTGTATTTTTCTGAGTGATCGAGATTCTAAACATGGAATGTGGCTTTTTTCTTTCTTTCAGCCTACTATCTGCCAAAGGATGATGAGTATTATCAGTTTTGCTATGTTGATCAAGATGGGCAAATCAATGGGACCAGTGTCCCCTTTCAATTCCGTACTGAGACTAATGATGACATACTTATCGTTACTAAAGAGGTTAGTTCCCTTTCTTAAGTCCTAAACCGAATAAAGGCTTGTAGGAATGTGCAGAATGGGTTAGGGTGTTAAGATCTTCAAAAGGTGTAGCTCTAAGCATAAAACAGCTGTTTGAGTATTTTGGAAGTGTTTCATTGGGAATTGAAACATCCCCAATCCACTTCAAATAGTTTCACATTAGAAACAGTTGTTTCAAGCCTTAAGGGAAGCATTTCAAAGTCAGAGCAGGTTGAAAACATTTTGCATTCTTATAATGGTTTGCCTGAGATACAGTAATCTGCACCCATCAAATGAATGCTTTTTTTTACTTTATTCTTTGTTTAAAATACACCCTTTTGGGGAAAAGAAAATCCTTCCAATCTGGCTTCCATTATAGCATTTTTTTTTAAAAAAGTAGATTCCATACAATAGAAATGGGCAGCTGGTTGATTGGAGTATAGAGGCCTGCACATTATACATATCTTGACAGAGAAAGGTACTTCTTCCACCTTATCTATAATCTGATCAGCTTGAGTAGCAAAGAACTGGCAGGCCTCTTTTGTCTCTCAGTGCTACTGAAATTGAGATATAAAAACCATAAAACCATCAAACACTCACATAGAAATATCCAATAGAGTAAAAATATGTTTTTAAAACTAATCAAAATTAATACTAAATATATGTAACAATTTGATGAAATAATTGTAGGGGAAGGGCATTGAACATACATACAGAACAGAATGTATGTTAATGTACAGCGAATTCTCATACCTTTGTCAGGGCGCAGCATGCTAACATGGGAAGTGGGAAAAGGGTTAATCCATATTATCTCCATGGCCTCTTTGGTTAAACTCTTGCTAGTATGTATTTCCATGTAATCTTTATTTAGATATCTGGGAAAGTTTTTTGAACACTCATTAATGTATACATTTTTTAAAATATTAGTTTAATCCACTTCTGAGCACAAAGGAAATGGAAAAGCAATATTTAAAATAAGTAGAATGAATCATCAGCATTTCTTATGGTTACAACAGTAGGAATTCAGATACTGAAGGAATATTTTTAGTTGTTTTTTTTAATCCATCTTTTTCAGCAAAACTTTGTATTATCAGACTGATTCCAGTAGTGGCTGCTTATTATAAGAATGGACACACAAAAAAAGACTTTGCTGAGATGTCTTAGCAGTTTCCACTGTTTGCATATATTGGGTGACTTACCTTAAATTAAGTAGTACATCGCATTTATAAAAATAAAATAAGTTAAATTATTCTATCTAAAAAATGTCAGAGTCCCAGTAATTCAAACAGCTAGTGCTTCATCTGTGACAGATGATAAAATATGCAAATAATGCTTAATAAGATAGTGCAGCATAGGCAAGCATGGTGGCTAACTAATGTGGTCTTCTATTTTTCAATTGTTTAATATTTCAAAAAATGGATCCAAGGTGGTTTGACCAAATTAGAGAGATCAAAAACATCCTTAATGTACTGTTTCTGTTGACGCAATTAGCACTGCATGTAATCAAAGACTAATAAACTCAGAACTTATTACAAATACATAATATTGGTAATATAATATATAATAAACATTTAGATCAGAAAAACCATTTGTATCCAGAAGGATCTAGCACACCTCTCCAGAACATATCAATACCATGCACTTTGGTTCTTTTGATTTTGGTTTGCAGGGAGAAGTGGAGAAAATACAGCAGCAAAATGCAATGTTGCTTCAAGAAAACAAGAACCTGAAGAAGAATCTGGCAAATCTCCAGGAGCAGAATATGCATCTACAAGAAGAACTTGTGGCAGCTAAGGTAGGAACCTTCTCCAAAGCGTAACAAAACACAACAACAAAAAAGAAAACTGAATGCATTTAACTAGTGTTTTCTTCCTAGAATGATATAGAGTTTACAGTCTCCACAGAAATTGCCTTAGAGGAAGGTAGAAATAGCTATGTGCTATTCAAAGTGCTAAGAAAACAATCCACCCAGATTGGGGAGAATGAGGAAAGACCATTGTCGATTACTATATAGACAATGTGTATTGGTGTAATATTCAGGCTATTAAAAAGGGAAGCATGTAATACTATACAGTTCTTTTTAAAAACGCAAGTCTAAAAAGTAGAAGGAGGACAAATTATGCAGAGGTTAGAAAAAGTTGGTGGAATCCTAGTCACTAAGATAATATTGATGTTAGGACACTCTGGATGTATGTTCAAAGAAAAAGGAGCTTCGGAACACAGGATATTTTGATGGCTGAGACCATAGTGCTTTAAGAATTGTCTGAATTTAGAACTAGGTTTCCTTAGAATTAATTAGCTTTAATAATGAAAGCTATAGAAAAACCAAAAAACAAAGAGAAATGAGAACCCACTGATTATTCACTGTAGAATAGCTAATAGATTGTCCCAAAATACAGTAAGGTGACAAGGTTAAAATATAACTATATGTTAAACAAGTAAAACAGAAATGTCAATTACTCTTTTCTTATCTGTGACATTATAATAAATGGAAATCTTTATTATTTGTTTTCTGCCCTGCAACTTCAGGTTCTTCAAGATAAAGTGAACACTTTAGAGAACAAATGTGAGAAACTTGAATCCCAAATGACAGATCTGGAAAAGGAGAAGTATGCCATAAAGGACGACCTGATGCAGTAAGTATTTATTTTTCCTCCCAGAGATAGCTGTTTCAGACACAGCACTAAGTAAACCTTTAGTGATCAAAGCCTAGGATTCATGAAATCCCTGTTTTCTTTTCAATGCAGCTATAAAAAAATATTTGGAATCCTTTAATTCTGTTTTCAATATTTTATGTTATGTGTGGAAACAAATGCAAAAAGAAAACAAATGAAACTGGGTTTTTTAGTTTAAAGTTTTTTTATTTTTTTATTTTAGTTATGGTTAGCATTTGAATAAAAACACTATAAACACTATTTGAATATATAACACTATAACATGAATATTGTAGTTAAAAACTTTATTCTCTGGGTTGCAGTGGAATTACTGGCTAAAGGAGAGGGGACCCTCTACGGGGAGTTAAAAGATATTCTAACTTGGAATTGGTTCAGGGGAGGAAACATCTAAGGTTAAACCTATAGGGAAGGCAGATGGTTTGTTTATAATATGCATGATCAGCAATAAAGTAGCTACTTGGGGCTGTTCATGGAATGGTTCTGGTTATTTCCGCCTGACATTAATCTTGCCAGACTCGGCGCTTCTGGGAATGAGAAAACAACGGATATGGCAGCAGAATCGCAGGCAGTTGCTATGTCTTCACAAGAGATGGTGAACACCTTACTTCTACATCAACATGAAGTGGAAGCAGAAATGAGGAAGTTACAAGCAACGATACTTCAATTGGTCCAGCCATTGGTGGTCCCAATAGCTCTGGTAGAGCAACCGGTCTCCTCCCATAGTGGTTTGCCAGAGAAATTTGGAGGAGAAGCAGACAAAATGAAAAACTTCATTGGTCAGTGTGAATTGTTTATGGGAATCCGAGCTGCAGAATTTCCAACAGATCATGCAAAAGTATCTTTTATATTGAGTTTGTTAAAGGAATCCGCAGCCAAGTGGGCACAACCAATCATAGAAGGCAATGACCCAATAATGAACAACTATCAAAACTTCATGGAGAGATTCAGAGCATATTTTGGAAATCTGATCCAAACAGTCACAGCCGGTCAAAAGATTCAGCAGCTTAAGCAAGGCAACAGAAGAGTGCAGTTGTACATTGCTGATTTTAAATTATTGGCAGCAGAGGCTGATTGGAATGAGTCAGCCTTGATTGATCAGTTCAAGCATGGTTTGCACAGTGAAATTCAGAGTGAGCTGGCAAAGCAAGGAGTTCCATGGAACCTAGATGAGTTATTCCACAGTTGCTTGCTCATAGATGCCCATTTGGAAGAATTGAAATGGAAACAGGAGACATCGTGCAGGCCTAAGGTTAAATCAAATTTCATGAGGCCTCCTCTCTTTCCTCTTGCCTCAACCAGTGGGCAGGTGGAAGAGCCGATGCAGTTGGGGACAGCCAGAAGAATGGCAATTGCTAAGGAAAGACAAAGACGACGGGATGCAGCAGCTTGCTTTTACTGCGGCAAATCAGGGCATATCGTCAGAGCTTGCCCAGCCAAGGAGCCATGGAGAGAGAGCTGGACAGCTGACCAAGATGCAGAAGAGCCTCACTCCTCTCATCAATCACCAATTTAAGGAAACAACAATGGCCCTTCTCTCAAGAGCTCACAGAAGGGACCATTCATCTTGTAAAGAGAGCTCATGTTAGACCATAGTACACTCTTGATTGTCTCTGTCAAATTATCTTTTGACTCTGGGCACCGATCACCTTAGGGACAGCATGGCTAAAGCTACATAATCCAACAGTAGGTGGGGAGAGGAGGGCAACGTCATTCCTTTCTCCAGCCTGCAACACAATCTGCAGTTTTCCACTGGATACCCTGAGGTAGAGGGGCTTATGTAGCCAAGCCATGCATGCCACTTTTGCAGATATTTTGGGAGGAGATGAGGCTTCAATCTTCCCCCTGTATTATGACTGTAATATTGATTTGAAACCAGAGATAATATCCAATATTAGCAAAAAAAGCTTTCAATCAAGCACTTGTATTCAAAATTAGAGAAAAGCCCTTCTAAATCACTATCTTCAGTACCTACTCTTTTTGTTCCAAAGAAGCAAGAGGCAGATATTCCAAACTTGAAGGGAGATGTTCCGATGCTTAGAGTCCACTATTACAAGAATCTCAACAATGTTACAATAAGAGATCGTTTCCTGCTCTCAGATTTGATGGGCAGATTATAGAGGGCTCACATATTTACCAAGCACTTGGGATCTTCAGAATGTGTATAATCTCGTTATAACAAAGACAATCTTTGATACCAAGTTATGGAAAGTCCTCAACTTACAACCATTCATTTAGTGACTGTTCAAAGTTACAACAGGACTAAAAAAAGTGACTTGTAACTGTTTTTCACATATATGATCACTACAACACCCCCACGCTCACATGATCAAAATTCAGTCACTTGGCAACTAACACGCATTTATAACTGTATTGTGGTCGTATGATCACCATTTTTAACTTTCTCATTGGTTTCCCAGAAGCAAAATTAGTGTGGGAAAGCAGATTCACTTTATGACCAGATGATTCACATTACAATTGCAGAAATTTGCTTGATCACTATGGCAAAAAGTTCATAAAATGGGGCAAAAGTTAACAACTGCCTTGCTTATCAACTGAAATCTGGGGCTTAATTGGGGTTTGTAATTTGAGAGATTACCCATGTACATTTTGAATTAGCTAGTTGAGGAGTAGTATTTTTTAGATTCATGAACCAATTTTTCCCCGGATACGACACATTTGCAATAATTTATTTGGATGACAACTTTATTGTCTCTCAGAATGCAGAGACGTGTGCAGCATCTTAGGGAGATGTTGTGAAAGCTACAGGAGAATAAGCTGCTTGTGAAGCTTGAGAAATTCATCTTTACCCTCCATCAATTGGACTACTTAGGCTATAGGATTTCAACCAATGGTCTGCAGATTTACTAAGATGCAGGCAGTGCTATATTTGTTGCCCAACCCTCCTATTCCATAGGCCGAGTATCTTCAATTGCAATAAGCACCACCCAGCAAGACCCATACATTCAGGCCTGGATGGATGACCGCTTGGGGACTCATCAAAGTACATTATCTGTTTTTGGTCAAAGATGGAAAATCTGCAGCATAAAGATAGGATCTTCATGCTTGTACCTTTTAAGGGAGGATGTGCTGCAATTTTGAAATGGTACTGAGACGGCTGGACAAGACACTGCACAGAACCTTAAGAGACTTTGGTGGCCCAGGATGATGCAAGACATTAAAGACAAGTGTGCCAAAGAGACAAGCTTCTAAAAATACCCCCTCCCAGCCTTGGCATACAGTATCATTTGACTTTAGAATAGATTTTCAACCAGTGCAGTTTATATAACCATATTGGTGGTGGAGGATCTCTTCACTAACAACCAGAGGTTGCAATAGTATTTGAGATGTTGTTGTACATACAGCCAACACAGTTGGCCATCATTTAACCCATTAGCCAATTTTGTATATAATAATTCTATCCATACATCAATTGCAATGACCCAATTCCAGGCCTCATGGAAAACACACACGGGTTTTATCTGCAACCTCACACTAGGGTTGCATCCCTGGGGCCTGGATTTTCCAGAGGAGCAGTGCACTGCTCAGGCACTGTTGAAAGAGCAGCTAGACAAACTGTCTTCCAACAGGCCCTTAGATACACACAACAACAATATAAAAGACTCTGGCAATTGCAGAGGAGGACAGTGTGTGGCTTTCTACTACATTTTAAACTGATTCCACACCCTCAAAAAAGCTACACACAAAACTTGGGGGCTTTTTTAAGGTCCTATGATAGGTCAGTTCTATGGACCTTTATTGGCAATTGCCACCATCTATCAAAGTGCAGCCATTTTCATTCTTCGTTGATGTTGAAGGAGGCACTTTGTAGTTATTGGCAGCCTCCACACATGGCTTCCACCCATGAACATTGAAGACCAAGTGAATTCGAAGTGAGGGAAGTATTAGGCAGAAGAAAAGAATATAGTGTTTGATTCACTAGAAGGGCTACCTAGAAGCAGAGCATTTGTGAGTAAATGCAAAATACATGGATGCTCTAGAATTAATAAAATTTTCACAAGTGCTTCTCAAGCAGATTCAGATTTACAGATTAGCAGAGTTGGAAGGGACCTTGTAGGTCATCTAATCCAACCCCCCACCCAAGCAGGAGACCCTACACCATTTCTGACAAATGGCAGTCTAATCTTTTCTTGAAAGTCTCAAGTGATTGAAGAACTTCCATGCTCCCAATACCAGCTTCAGTCCTGAGCCTGAGGAGAACCAGTGAGTGAAGGGGTTAACTATTCAAGGGTACTCTTTAGGGAGAGACATGAGACTGGCAGTTGTTCAGTCTTTAACTGTGGATCTTCACTTTCTGAGGGAAAGGGAGGGGGAGGACCCTTCTAATGGTTTAGATATTTTGCAGGGAGAACCACCTAACTGGGAGAATTCCTCAGACTTGGAGGAGGAAAGCTCTTCTGACATGTTATGCCATTGCTGTCCCCATTGTCCAGTTCCCAGGAGACAAAGAAGACAAAATGGAGGAAAGAGGGGGGTTGTTTAGAGAGGAGGACATGATGTGGTAGAATCACCAGATTAAGGAAACAGGCCCCCTCTAGAGGAGTAAAAAACATTCTAGCTTCAAGTCAATTTGAAGGAGGAAAGCCTGAGGTTAACACTTAGATCTATATCTGCCATTTCCCAAGAGAAGGCAGAGAGGCTGGTGAGATTCTTGTAATGTGGGTAATCAGCAGTAAAGTATCTACCTGGGCCTCTTCATGAATCTTTCTGGTTACTTATATCTGACTGGGTTCACCTTAAGCAATAAATACTGCATTTGCATGCTATCTGCATTTAGAGTATAATTTTTATCCTCTGAATTATCCAGAGAACTGCTGTTCTTGGTAGTATATAAATGCAATAAAGAATAATAATCTCTTATGCCTATTTCCAAACAGGATCAAAGAAGAGAAAGAATCTGTATTATCTGAGAAAGAAAAGATGGGAAACCAGCTGAAAACCACTTTGTGCCAAAAAGAAGAATTTCAAGTGAGTTAACAACTTTGGGATCTTTCTTAAGGGTTTAAAAGAATTGCTTCTGACCACATTGTCTCCAGATATGTCAGCCAACTTGACCAGCAGTGCAGATTCTGTAGGTTCTTACAGTCTCAACACATGCATAGGATATAGTATTAGAACAAGGTTCAATCTTGGAAGGAGGAAGCTTTTCAAAACCCAATTTTAGAGAATCAGAAACAGTATTTGTGCTTGAATGGATAGGACCAAATATATTCAGTTGCTTCACATTCCTTTCTTGCAAACCAGCATCTACCACAAATGAATTCTGATATATATTTTCATCCTTATCTAAATTTAGGACAATTTCTTTCAATAAATACTCCCTATTTATACTTACACTGCATCTGTATGCTTAAAATTTAACATCATAGAATTAAAAACCTTATCTGAGTTGTTCCATAAACGAATAGTCCTCGAGTTATGACCATTGATATAGGGACCATTCAAAGTTATGACTGCCTGGAATTAAGGGACTTATGACTGACTCAGATTTCTGGCCATCGCAATGAACCAAATTCCTGACTCTCTGGCTGTTCTTATTGTGAATTGCAACCATCCAGGTTTCTCTTCATAGGTAAACAGTATGGTCATCTAAGAATCATCTGGGATTGTTCCTAGTTGCTACCATTCTTATTTAGGGAGCAAGTTCCTCCAAAGAGCTGGCTTTGGCAGCGAAATCAGCTATTCAACAACCGGGGGTGAGGGGGAACGGCCAACAGCTCCGGACACCATTTTCAGAGGATAGAGAGTAGAGGATTTCTAAATAATCTATACATACAGAAGATTTTTGTTTATTTTCTACTCGCCTTAGCTATTGAAAGAGTTCAATCATTTTATGGCATTAATCAAAACACCTGCCAAAATGGTCAAGGTTTTCTAGCTTCCATATCTCTCAGGATTATAATTTCATAATTATCAAATTTGGAAATTTTACAGAACTGTCATAAAATTAACTTTGAGCCTGATTGTCTAATGTTCCTTTTCTTGATCTGCATTTGGGAAATGATATACCTCTCTCCCTTTTTTTTAGTTACAAGTGCAAATTCAAAAGAAGGAGATGGACAACCTGCAGGAGACAATTAAAGATAAAGCAAAGCACCTGAAAGAATGGAAGGGAGAGAATTATCAATTAAATGCTGCCTTGTTTAGACAGGTAATTTTCCTGCATTTTTTTTCTTTTCATATATACTTTTTAAACCTTAAATAACTTTAAATTTGCATTCTTCACTAAAACAGCATAGTTTATTAATCTAATGAAGCAGTCCCTCCATAGAGATCCTATTCTCCAGATAATCTAGCTGCTGCAGATTGATGCATGCTTTTCCAACTCTGCAAAAAGTTTCCTTGGAATTTGCCACTTCACTATAGTTTATCACACCACCTTTCCTTCCATAGATATAGTCAGTCATGGAGACAAATTTCCTTGGATGGTATATAAGAATGAAAACAATTATTTGCCTCTAAATGCCTTCTCTGTCGCCCTGACCTCCCTCAGCATTTTGTTGTTGTTGTTGCAGACTTCAGGCACCACTGTCAGATTATAAGCACCCAGAAAATGTTTTGTCTACAATAGACTCAAATTCACCATAATTCACAATAATCATTTTCTGAAGTGCACAATATGACAGCAGTGGCCTTCCGTAGACTAACCTTGCAGATGTCTGTGGTTGACTGTGTCTATGAAGTAAGAGGTGGTGTGATAGACTATGCTGACGCACTTTCTGCCCAGGGGAGGAAAGGCAGTCAAAAGGTTGAAGGCTCACAGTTCTATCATAAGGATTTTTCTATTGGGCCAAGAGTGGGAAGGAGAATTTAGCAAACAAAGCTTCTGCTAAAAATAAACTAGTATAAACAAGAAAGAAAGACAGGAAAGAATAATTTGTTTGTTTAACAATAAGAAGAAAAATATAAGCCAGACTTGGACAGTGGGATGAATGGCGTAGGTTATATCATCCTAGGTATAGTTTTCAGTTAGTCCTTAATTCAGCATCTGTGAACATTTTAGTTTGAGGCTCCCAATCTGTTCAATATCATTGTTTTCCTTCAGTGCCTAATTAAGGAGAAAAAATGAGAATCAACTATGGCAGAAATTTTGAGCTATGTTTGGAGGATAATCCACATTGTTTTGACCTTCTCTGTATATGCTGTTCATTAAAACATTTGATGAACTTCTTTCTCCAGTTTTGGACAAAAATATCCCTCCATAGCCATGCCATTCTGTTATTTGCCCTATACTGAAGCTTGTCCTAAACACCTTGTGGTCCATTTCTCTTTAATTAGTTGTGTGTGTGTTTGTATACATACATATACATCCATCCATCCACCTACTTGTCCTTTTATAAAAAAAATTCTCTCTCATAACTAAGTGCCTATTCACTTAGTTTATAAATCCTACTATTAGAGAGTTTTGGTGCATATTTTAAACTGGGACAATTCTAATGTCTTCCTGTTGCCCACTTCACCCATTTTATTTGTGCCTAAAACAACAAAACCTATCAGTGCTTGAGAACTATATAGAGATTCTTCAACTAGGGCACCCAGTGTGAATGCTATCACCATTCTGGAAATGCTGGCTTATATAATAATTAGAGATGGAGCATGCCTAATTTAAATTCCCAGTCCTGAGACATAGTGGAAGATCTTGCATTCCGTGTTATCTTTCAGTCTAATCTTATGCAGTCTAATCTTCCACATGGCTGCTCTAAGAATGAATAGATCTTAACCATGAGTTCTAGTGGAAGAAGTATGAAATAAGAGTTTGGAGGTGGTGGTGGAAAAATGTTTACCATTTGCCTTTGGCTTCTAATTTTGCTCCAGTTTTTTTTCTTTTCTCAGCAAATGTTGAACAAGATCCAGGAAGAACAAACACTTGCACTTCAAATCCTGAAGAAGCAAAAAGATGAACTACACCAAGAAAAACAGGTGCAAACTTTGTCATATGGGAAGTGATGAGAGATGCTATTGTTGGATTATTGTGAAGAGGGCAGTATTGTACAATTAGGGACAGATAGAAGTTGCTTGGGGTAGCTTTTTATAGTCTTCTTGTGGCTGAAAATTCTGGAATTTTTAATTCCCAAACATTTCAAATACAGATTGGATAAGCCACGATTCTCAACGGGGAAGAGACCCTGACTTTTCCCATGAGAGGTGTATTTGAGGAAGATATTATTAATTATAAATGTGATTGCTTATGAAAGAAAGCTTGTAAATAAAGCTTGCAATGTTTTAGTACCAGGAAACATACAACCTAAAAGAGTGTGGATTAATCACCCAATTTCTCTAAAAAAATGTTGAATTATTAATTCATATCCATTGTTATTCCAGAAAACACAATAATAATTCACAAAGTATAGGGTTTCCCTGCCATCATTTTAATATTTCTTTCTGCCACTACTAATCAGCCTAATCTGGTATTAAAAAATAAAATGTTTAGATAGAACATTATGCTTAGTACAGTCTGCAGGTATGCTTCTTGTGTTCTTAAACAATAATTCAATCTTGAGCACCAAGCCAAATCTGCTGCTATTACAGCTTTGCACATATATTACTGTGTAGATGTTTATAAAATGATTTGATTCTTTATCTTTACCTGTACTGGGGACTTCTTGGAAATACTATTTATGGCTGCACGTGATTCCTTTACTAACACATTCCTTTATTAACAGTAACTCTCCACACACACACACACACATCCCCATCTGCTTTGGCTTATCCATGAAAGTTTTTTATTCTGAATTGCCATTAAAAGTTATTTTCTCATAGATTGATACAGATTTTCCAACATTGAGCACAAAAGTACCACTCGGCTTTTATTCCCCAATCCTTCTTGAACTGCTGGGAACCCAGGGAACTTTAAGAGTCTATCTGTAGTGAACAGAAGACATGGTAAAAACAAAAACAAAAGATGTCCTGCCCTTGAGCTAACACAGATCCTGGAGCAAAAAAAATAAATCATGATGATTGAATGGTGCCATCAATCAAAGGATGTGGGGTACCTCCTTCCAGGTTATTTTCCAGAAAGACAATAAAACCTCCCATAACAAGGAGGTTATATGACATCCCCTTATACAAAGGGAAATAAAATTAGTTCCTAATATCTATACATATTTTCAATACATGTTGTGTCCATTTGTCTGATGATTTGAAAGAAAATGAAGTGGTCCTTATGAAGGAAAGTTCCTTTACTGCGCAGTGCAATATTCTACAATATTGTTGCAAATTATAAAAAGTTAAATTTAGTATTTAGTATTTTTTTTAGTATTTATTTGATTTGTCAATCGCTTACAAGATACAGGTGTAAGAATAAATATAGCTTTGAATACATGAGATAGATACTTATAAGAAAAATAAAAAACAATAGGATAGGGATGGTAGGCACGATTGGTGCGCTTATGCACGCCCCTACAGGCCTCTTAGGAAGGGGATGAGGTCAATAGTAGACAGCCTAAGGTTAAAGTTTTGGGGTTTGGGGAAGAAACCACAGAGTCAGGTAGAGTATTACAAACATTAATCACTCTGTTGCTGAAGTCGTATTTTCTGCAGTCAAGTTTGGTGTGGTTTACCTTGAGTTTGTATCTATTGTGTGCTCTTGTATTGTTATGATTAAAGCTGAAGTATTCATTTGCAGGTAGGATATTGCAATGTATGATTTTATATACTATATTTAGATCGGACCGGAGGTAGTGTAGTTCTAGATTTTCTAGGTCTCGAGTTTCAAGTCTGGTGGCATAAGGTATTCTGCAACGAGAGGAGCGGAGAACTCTTCTTGTGAAATATTTCTGGACTTTTTCAATTGTGTTAATATCAGATACATGATATGGGTTCCAGACTGATGAGTTGTATTCAAGTATAGGTCTAGCAAATGTTTTGTATAGTCTGGTGATATTACCAGAGAAGAAGCTATGTAGGATTACATTAACAACTCTTAATGCCTTTTTGGCTATGTAGTTGCAGTGGGCTCTAGCACTTAGATCATTAGAGGTGAGTATTCCAAGGTCCTTTACAGAGCTTGGGTCATCAACAAGATCTTGACTATTCAGCTTGTATTTTATTTTCTGATTTTTTCTGCCAATATGTAAGATAGAGCATTTATTTGTTGACATTTGAAGTTACCATTTGATTGACCATTCTGATACATAGTCAAGGTCTTTTTGGAGGGTAGCAGTATTGTCTGTGGTGTTGAATAGCTTTACATCATCAGCGAAGAGAATGCAGTTGCTCTTAATATGATCACAGAGGTCATTTATGTAGAGTATGAAGAGAGTTGGTCCTAAAACACTGCCTTGGGGGACACCACTGTTGACAGGTAGAGAATTTGATAGGACGTTCCCAATTTTGACCATTGTCTGTTTGAGAAGAATGCTTTTATCCAGTTATGTAGGTGTCTAGAGATACCATAAGATTTTAGTTTTAGTAGTAGTTTCTCGTGTACCACTGAATCAAAGGCTTTACAGAAGTCTGTGTAGATTGTGTCTATTGCTTTGCCCTGATCGAGTTTGTAGTTGATATGTTTTTGCAGTGTAAGGGTTGCAGATTACAGGATAGTCTTTTTCTGAAACCAAATTGTTTATTAGAGAGTAGGTTGTTTGTCTCTAAGTAGAGGATAATGGATTGGTTAATAATTGATTCCATGACTTGACAGGTGACGCAGCATAAGGAGATTGGTCTGTAATTTTCAACTAGGCTGGGGTTTAGCATTTTTATAACTCATTTGTTACAACTATGGTTGAATGTTGCTTCAGTGGGCAAGGGCGTACTAAATTTTACCTGTAGACACTGATGCTGTAGGATGGAAGAGATAAGAAAAAGTAATGTGAGTTTTGGTAGCAAAAGGTGGGATAAGCAAAAGTTTCAAGTATGGAAGAAGAGCCTGCTTATAAGTGCTGCAGTATTGCAAAGGGTGGCATCCAATTTTGCTCAGGTTTCAAATCACCACAGAACAAAAAAAAATTTTTTTCCGGTTCCCTGGATCAACTAGCTGTACGAAATCAGAAAAACCTACAGCTGCTTCTGAACTGTTGCAAACCTTTGTGTGGATATTCCCACTGTGGGACTGGTGGGACTGGTGAGAAACCAACTTCCATGTGCAAGCAGTGAATTTTGTTGCTATATTTCAGATTAAAAACAACTATTTCTGGGCCCAACTATCTATATATCATAACTTCCAAAGTTACTGTTTTTTGCATTTTAGCTTTTTTTTTTTTAACAGAAATTATGGCAAGAAAATGAAGACTTGAAGGCAACCACCCCTGAAATACGCAGTTCATCTGCTGGACTCCCATCCCAGTCACCACCTAATTCTGGGCTCCTGTTTGAAAATCCATATTCTGGTGAGTGCCCTTTGCCATCCAGTTGGGGGGTTCCAACTAGCAGCAAAAGTATGCTAACTGATAACCCAGTGCTGGGCTGTTTAAAAACACGTAATTGCTCAGGTGGTCATTGCTCAACTTATGACTGTAATAGAACCTGTTCAGTATTGACATAAGTCGTGTTGATCAAAAAGTTGGTCATCAGGTGACTGACCCGATTTTATGTTCCTTTTTTGCAGCAGTTGTTAAGTGAATCCATGGTTGTTAAGCAAATCCATTGTTCACTATGGGATGATTTTTGCCAAAAATCAAAAGCAAACAAAGGGTTTTGGCAAAAACTTCGTAAATTGCAGGCACTTGACCCTGAGACGTTGCAAATGGTTGTATATGCAAGCCAGTGGCCAAGTACCCAAAATGAGGTCACATGACTGTAGGCAGGGGCAGTCACTGAAATCAAGTTATAACTACCTTTAGTTATAACTAGGGGTGGTGGTGTTCCATGCTAAGTTTGAACAGTCACTAAGCATAAGTGAAGGACTGCAGTACCAAATTTTGCAGTTATGAGTTATACTTCTTTTGGATATGCTATCTTTTGCTGAGAAATAGTAACAATGCCCTGAGACAGACGTTGGCAGATTCTGAGTTATAACATCCAAATAAGATGGAATAGATTATGTATTGCCAGATCTTATAAATCTGCTATTCAAATGTACAGACTCCATGACTGATTTCTGACATCACTGTTCCTTCCCTACATCACACAGTATTTTGAAATGTCACTGATACTATATATTAACATTAATGAACATTAAATAATTCATGTAAATTAATTAATATTAAAGTGTTTTACTTTTCTCAGTACGGTTTTGTCTTACAGCATCACCAAAAATTGTTCAGACGAATCCGGTGAGTTTTCACTTTTAATGTCTTTATTATTGAGCACAATGCAAAAAAAAAAAAAACCTGAAACCACCCAGTAAAGACAATGAAACAGTGAAGAGAAGTCAGAGAAAACAGGGAAAAGATACGTGATTGTTGAAGCCGCAATTGTTGGTTACAGTCATTATCCTATCCCTATCCCTTGGTGCTTTAAACCAGCTTTGTTTAGAATTAAAGGAAAGGCAGACTGGTGCTGTGGGTCCTTAGTCACTTAACATTTTGCACTTGTTGTTTTGAGGTATCCATCTCTTTTTTCTCTGCCCACTCCATCACTTGCCAGAATACTACAGAATAAAGCTTTCCCATCCCTGTAACATAAATGTACTGTATATCATGCAACTGCAAAGCAATTCAGGGGGAAAACAAACATTTCCACTGTCTTCTTTCAGGTCTCTCTGAAAAAGTGTCCCATATGCCAGGAAGTCTTCCCTAATGACATTGGACAACAACAATATTTGGATCATGTGCAAAATCACATTCTCGATTGTCCATATTGCAATAAAACCTTTGACAGCTCCGACAAGCAAGTGTATGATGACCATGTCTTTTGCCATCGCTTAGACCAGGCTTAAGCCTGCTTGCATCACTTGCCCTAAACTATTACACTAATGCCCTTTTTTATTTCCCCCCTCTCCTTTTTCCATTTCTCTCCTTTGTATGATTTGGCAGGGATAGATACTTGATCTGCTAAAATTGACATATCAAGTCTGTCATTGGGCCTGAAGTGCTGATTACTTTAATTTTCTTGTGATACATGTGTTAAATTAAATAATACATTATGCTGTTGCTTTGGAAGCAGAAATTTCCATATTTAAATCTTATATTTAAAAATAAGATGCTTCCTTCCCCCCTCACCCACCCTAAATCTTCCATGAATAATGGATCATGTTCATGATAAGTAGAGATTTCTAGCTTTGCTAGAAAGAATATCTCTAGCATATGGGCTCCAGCACAAGTCTGAAAGTTTGGGAGACAAAACCTCTGGTCCCTCAGATTGGATTCTAAAACATTATCCTGGGACACGTATATTCACCTTCTTTTGTGATTTCCAGCTCTGCCTGTCGTAAAGAATAAAACTTGCACTTTTTGCTTGCTTTGCTTGTTTTATGCCTGTTTAGGCAAAGCAACAATGTGCCATATCTGTTGTCAGGGAGCTCACTCTCATATCAGAAAATTATCTGAAGAAGGAACCCAATTTTTTAATGACATTGAGATTGATAAAGGTACTGACAAGTTTTCACCAGTATTGTCACTGTATGGAAAGGAGAATGTTAAAAAAGAATGTTTTTTTAAAAATAAAATATTAATACTTTTTAGGGCTTCAGCATAGTCAATTTATTGGATTCTTCAGATTGGACAGTAGTATCATATCTCCAGCATTAAGGAGTTGCAATAATCTTATAACCAGAATCTCTTTATGATAATGTAGAAATGTGCTGCTTTGTTGAAATTTTTCTTTCTATATGACTGCTTTGTCAAAAGGCCACGCTTATAATTAAGAATACTGCATTAGAACACAACACATGCGTGGAATTCCTTTTCTTGAGAAATCACAATATTATTTTTTAGTTTGACTGTGCACTTTCTACTCTTTAAGACTGAATACTGTAATAGAGATAAGCTGTTTACATACAGATTATATACTACGTATTGATTAGCTAAATAGTTAATATTATATATAGCAAAATCTATTTTAGTAATATTTTTGTCTTTTAAGTTCTATTACTGCTTTATAAATTGGGGAAATGTTTTCCAGTTTGTAACAATGGAGTGCTTACT